ATGTTTGGTGTGACGGGGATTCGAACCCGCGACCCTCAGATTGCGAGTCGAGCGCCCTCTAATCACCTTGCCATGCCGGGCATACGTAGAATGTACGAGGACTTTAGAGAAAAATCGTGTGACGTGTTAGAGAGTGTTTGCTATTGGTTGCCATTGCCGCTTATACCGGTTTTTCCTTGTTATTGGTAACGTCATAGGTAAAGAATTCCTGGGATTGGAGTAAGCGGCAAGTGACCTTAAAACTAGAAACAGGTACTAAGTGATGGGACACATATGAAGGAGTTTACGTGCAAGGTATTGGCATTTGAGTATAAAATTTGTTGGTGTTTTCGAGTCCTTGTAAGTTTTAAAGTTGTATGTGTGTCTCTAACTTACATTACATCCTGAAAAATTATATAATAATAACACCAACGAGGCACTTATAATCGAAGAGAGTAAAGAAAATACGCGCAGTTTTTTGTTCCTATCAAGGTGTAAATATAATTGGAACAGACGTTTTTACAAGAGTGAGGAAAGGTGGACGTACGGTTTTCCCATCCGACGCTCGTAGTGAAACGTAAGTAAAATAGAAATCCCAATCATGGTTCATTTGATAATCTGTTGATAGCCTAAAACCCTAAACATGGTTCATTTAATAATCTGTTTATAGCCTTACATTCCAAACATGGTACATTTAATAATATGTTTATAGCCTTAAATCCTAAGCATGGTTCATTTAATAATCTGTTTATAGCCTTAAATCCTAAACATGGTACATTTAATAATCTGTTTATAGCCTTACATTCCAAACATGGTACATTTAATAATATGTTTATAGCCTTAAATCCTAAACATGGTTCATTTAATAATCTGTTTATAGCCTTAAGTCCTAAACATGGTACATTTAATAATATGTTTATAGCCTTACATTCCAAACATGGTACATTTAATAATCTGTTTATAGCCTTATTCTCTGCTTACAAGTATTCCAAGTGTTTTATTTTCATTTTATGAAGTACGTTTGTTATAGGGATGTATCATGAAAAAAAAAAAAAACTCTTCGCGCTAGTTTTGTTGATTCATTTAATAAATCCTGCTTCGAATTAAAGTTTTGAACTTACTTTTCGTAAAAACAAACTAGACTTATCAAAACGAACAATAACTTAGAAACATTATACAAAGAACAGTTCCTATCGGAGGCTCTGACATTAATAAAGTTTTTGTCATAAAGGAGAATTTGAGGTGTAATTCACAGTGTGTAGTATATACGTCACATTAAAAAACAACTTTTAGCGTTGGGGTAAAGTCTTGTACACCATGCGGGTTATAGTTGGGTACGATGTATTATTGTAAGCAAATAACTAGAAACCTGTAAGTACTGACTCCCGATTTTTTGAATTTAAATAACCATATAGAAATAGCTTCTGTGATTTTTATTTAATATTTGACTTTGCAAACTTGAGGGGTTGAATATTAAAATTTTGAATAATCCTGTAACACTAAAAAATCAAAAGATAACGTTATGTTATAATGTTATAAGTATCTAGTAGCTGAATGTTTAAATACTGTGAGTTGGGTTTCTCGTATTTAAATATTTACACTATCGACTCGAGTTTTCGCAACTTTAAATAAAAGTTGACACACGAAAGTTGAATTTCTCATTTCTGAATGCTTAAATATTGTGACACTTAAATACTGTGATACTTAAATATTGTGATACCGTATTGTGATACTTAAATATTGTGACACTGTATTGTGATACTTAAATATTGTGACAACGTATTGTGATACTTAAATATTGTGACTCCCTCCGTCTTGTGATACTTAAATATTGTGACACCGTATTGTGATACTTAAATATTGTGACAACGTATTGTGATACTTAAATATTGTGACACCGTATTGTGATAATTAAGTATTGTTTGACGTATATTGAACGCTTACAAGCTTGTGTGATTAAGTGCAAGTATAATTGTGAAAATAATGTGAATGCTTATACTTCTGTGATGCTGAATGTTTTTAATTTTTATAGTGTGTGATTCATTATTAAATGGCCCGGCATGGCCAGGTGGTTAGGGAGCTCGACTCACAATCTGAGGGTCGCGGGTTCGAATCCTCGTCCCACCAAACATGCTCGCCCTTTCAGCCATGGGGGCGTTACAAAAGTAACGGTCAATCCCACTATTCGTTGGTAAAAGAGTAGCCCAAGAGTTGGCGGCGGGTGGTGATGACTAGCTGCCTTTCCTCTAGTCTTACACTGCTAAATTAGGGACGGCTAGCGCAGATAGCCCTCGTGTAGCTTTGCGCGAAATTAAAAAAACAAACATAACTAAATACTTAATTCTGATAACAGTGAGTATTCAATATGTTTGAATGCTATGACACAAAATGTCTTGGGTTACTGATTATTTGTAAAAAAGAAAACAAAAACTTTTGGTGCTGAGTTTTTAATATCTATGAATATTTGACTTTGAGTCTTTAACATATCCGAATGTTTGTAATCTTCTAACACGATGTTCAATATATCTGAATACATCCATTATTTAAAACAAATGAACATTGAGTACCTATGTTTATTTACAGTTGTGTGTGTCATTGATGTAAGTGTATAATAAATCTGAATGTTTCTAGATTGTCATTGAGTTTTACCATATTTGGATATTTATACCATCCTGATATTGAGTCGCTGATATATCTGCATGTTTATAACAGTGTGAAATTCCGTCTTTACCATTTCCGAATGTCTATATCATTGTGACTACGAGTCATTGACACACCTGGATTTCTATCTATGGTATTGTGACTACGAGTCTCTGACACAGCTGAATGTCTGTCTGTGACGTTGTGACTACGAGCCCTTGACACACGTGAATGCATGTCTGTGACATTGTGACTAATATATTTAATTACTTACATTTTCTTGCCATTGAGCATGTAATAAATCTGAATATCTAAAATACTGTGACTTGTATCATTTGTTTTATTTGACTGTTTACAGTCGTGTGACTTAGAACGTCTCATTAAATGTTTACAATTTGTGAAGTTCATCAATATTTAAACTTATGACGTGTATTGCCTATTTAATTCTTTATAGTATTGCGAGTTTGAATGTTTCATTAGATGATTAAACTATTGTTACATTGAGTGTTTCATTAACTGCTTGGGTAGTTACGTTATAGCTTTTTTATCAAGTGCTATAAAATTTAAATTTTGAATTTTTTCTTATCCTAAGTACCTGAAACATCTAATGTATAAAATAATATCCCCCAATGAAACGCCATGTCCAACGCAATTTCCAGTTTTTTTTTATTTTTTAATATATAAATCGGCGCTCGTGGTGTAAAAAAACAAGCTTGTGATTGTTCTGTCACGTACTGTCGGCTGATCCTGCAGTTTTTTGATACGTGTGGTGGATAGTAAGCTAGTGAGCATGTCTAACAGTGTAAAGTTACAGACACGTCAGCAACTTTCGTTTCGAACTTTGGTTCTTTAGCACAAATATAAACGAATATTTCAGCAATATTTTGTGTAACACAATGGCACCTGCAGATAGATACGTTCAAGTAACTACATACCTGTTTACGTGAATTTTACGAAAAATCTTCTATATATGCTTAGGAGATGTCTTACTGTAACCTTGCCAAATATTCATAATACGGGTAAGTTAGCGATAAAAAACAACGACAATTAATAACGCAAGTATTTTCTTCCAAGTCCTCTTCTGAATATCCATCTGTTTCCATAAGTATACCATATAGTTGGAAAATGTTATAATAAATATTTCTCTATCGTTGTACTTTTATGTAATACATTGCATAGCTATAATGAAATACGATGTATTATTATTTTATTGCACACGTATTCACTGTAGTGTTGAAAATATATTATTCTCTGTCTGTTCTTGTCTAGCAAGGAACCTACTAATTTGAATAATCAATTCAAAAATGCTGTAACAGCAACTTTTACATTAGCCAAGTTCTCATTTTAATGATTACAACGTGTTGACTCATAACATAGGGTCATCATCAAATAACTTTTATCTGCTGATGACCCGATACTATGGGTCAAAACACTGCAATCGTTAAAAAAAAGAGCTCGCCTACTGTAAAATTTGGTATTACTGTATTCTTGTATTAATTATTCAATTAGTCTGAAAACGACTGTCAAAGAAGAATTGAATACTTGCTCAATAAACTATGACCGTTGAGATAAAAACCCGATTGAGTTGTTGTTATTTAGCATTACAAAATCTTATTCGTTTTATTTCTATCACTAAAATGAATAAAAACCTTTTAACCCCGGGCGCTTTAGAAAGCTAGACCTTCCTTCTTCAGGGGCAAACTGAATAAGAAAGGCCCACCTTTCGAAAGTGCTCAAGTTATAGGGTTTTTATTCATTTCTATCAAGACTCCTTGAACCTACGTATTTTTCTAACATCATGAATTTCCATCATCAATATCTTTTCGCCCATGACTGATCTTCTAAATCTAAATATGGGTGAGAAGGAAGTCCACACTTGTGCAGCTTAGTGTATTCTTCTTTAGCTGGATTAATTAATTGACACGGTATTTTATCAGCTTATCACGTATTGAAATGTCGTTACTCATTACTCTAACAAGGAGTCTTCGAGTTAGGTTAATTGTTAAATTTCTGACTTCTTTATTAATATTATATGACTGATCGTGAGTTATTGTCTGCTGTCCACCACTGTTTTTGTTGGTGGGTGATCAGGTGTGCAGTTGTGCTCCTTAAAGCATGAGACAAAACCCAATCCATTTATATCAGAATTATGTTTTGGTAGTCTAAGGTTGTATTGTATTCTGTTCTCATGAGAACTTCCCGAACAGTTCGTTGTAACTTTACCTGCATTTCATGAATAGTTGTTGTTTTTGAGTTTCGCGCAAAGCTACACGAGGGCTATCTGCGCTAGCCGTCCCTAATTTACAGTGTAAGACTAGAGGGAAGGCAGCTAGTCATCGCCACCCACCGCCAACTCTTGGGCTAATCTTTTACCAACGAATAGTGGGATTGACCGTCACATTATAACGCCCCCACGGCTGAAAGATTACGAGTCGAGTGCCCTAACCACCTGGTCATGCCGGGCCTTCATGAATAGTAAAGTCCATTTTTCTAAATCATACTTTGGCAGTGGCTCTGTCTTTCTGTAGTTACATTTATTTATTTAATTATGGCACTTTCATGGTGATTGTCTTCTACTTGATTGGGGAATGTGGCTTCAAACAGGTTTCATGGTTGTCGTTTCTGTTAAAAGCATGAACTAGCGATATTTCGAATATGGAATTAAACGCGCTTATTTGTTCATGTAATGGTGGTTTAAGTACGAATATATTTGTTCAACCGTACCAACCTAGTGCGCGTAATAGCCAGATGTAACATTTACCCACTTATTCACCAACACAAATAGTCTACCAGCTTGGAAATCATCTGAATGGAATCTGTAACACCTCACCTGAAAGTGAAACACATAAGGCTGTACTACTAGGGTAATTTTTCTGTGTAAATTTGTCTAAGCAGCAAATATAGTTAACTCTGTTATAAGACACACTGTTAATTAAAAAATATAAAGTTCGTGTTGTAAAACTTCAACCCTATCTCAAGATTCTGCCCCCCCCCCTCCTCCAGTGGCTCAGCGGTACAACTGAGGACTTATTATGCTAAAAATCGGTGGGCAGAGCATAGATTGCTCATTGTGTAGCTTTGTGATGATATTAAAAATATATATATTGTATATACATATTGTTACGTCTCCGTTTGTTAAGTGATTTTCCATAAATTCGTTCGGACGAAACTTTAGCGACACTAGTCCTTACTTAATAAAACTGGTTTATTCTTTCCGAATATAACTTTACGATACACTTAATTTCAACAATCGCGTTAAAACAAACGCTGTAACAACGAACGTGCTCAACTTCAATAATACTTTCTCACTGCAGATCAATTACTCGCTGTCTACACACACCGTTATCCTGTCACGTTGTCACCCTCATTTATATACCAGACTACCCTATATCTAGTAAATGCTAGAGCA